CATCACATTGTTCTCACATCCGAACTCATGCTCGATTAGTGCTGTTTTTGTCTGGTGACTGACCTGAGTGACTGAAATTACTAGCCTTGATGTATATAATATAGCGGTATATTTTTCTTCCTGATTTTCTAAGTCCATTCAGATAAAACTTCAGTTGATCGAATAAGTCGGTATATTTCTGCACCGTCTTCGTTCAGTTGTTATTCTTCCCTCATGCTGGGGCGCCGGATTTCATCACCTCTGGGTAATCAACTGTGATCAACTACAGAATCTAAAGCGGGATGGGGTTCATCCTCAAATATGATGCGTGGTGGGAACCTATCAGGTGCATTCTACGTTTTTGTCTCTTGTTTGTGTCAAGTAAGTCATGGTGCAAGCATTTCGGTGGCAGTTGGTTGGTTGGTTCGCTTCATGGTTTTTCGTGGTCGCGATACCACCAAATCACAGTTCATCCGGAGAGGAGATCACTATCCATTTGATCGAATCTGTAGTATGCATCTGAGTACATGCAACGAGATGCATCCCGGTCCGATTTGCATAGCCTCTTTCTTCCTTATCGGAACTGGGAACGAGCATAAACAAATAGGATTTGACCATTAAGGGCGAGAGGGTGCCACATCCGTGTACAACAAGCGCAATTTGACACATTCTAAAATAGGATTGCCAGATTATTCTTCATTCAACTGGAAAACAGATGATCGAAGCATACAGAGTGATTGGAACCTAACGAATTCACCGTCCGGGATCGCGTTATCATATCAGTATAATACTTGCATACATTTGTCCATTACTTCGAAACGAAGCAACTCGATCGACTTGTTTCTTTTCCACTTAGGCACTATCATCTATCCCTTGTTATTTCAATTCTACACTTCACCATTAAGTGCGTCGACGATTTCCTCTGTGTTATATACATTTCCCAATGACCTTGTCTTCACCGAATCGTCCTCTCTGTGCCCCAATGGTAATCAAGTAACCTAAGTAGGAAAGCAATAGGCCATAATAAGATTATCGAATGAATACAAAGTCATTTGACTTTGTGTATATTTCAGGTTAGAAAATGACAGTCACCAAAGTGTATGCTATCGATCCCCAACCTGATTCCAACAACGGATTGGTAACTATCATTATTTTCTCGACTGTTTCAGTATTCAAATTTGATATGAGTTCTACACCCTGTAAACCTAAAATGCTATTACGTAATCGATTGGATCCAGCTCTGAATCTCAACCCAACTGGTGAGGTAATAGAGATTGTAAAAACAACGTTCCCATCTGGGCTGTTATGTCATTCCTGACGGGCGAAAACCCGGATGAAGTATTGACATACGAAAACACAAGGAGTTATTGTCATTCACCAGCTTTGGACTCCCTTGGCACTATTGTAACATCCGAATGTCTGGTAAAGGTCGAGTTTTTATGACCCAGCAATCCGGCCGGTGTTAATGTATGCTGCAAAACATATGCCCATTGTATCTGGAAGATAAACGCAGATCGCAGGTGTTTGGGTTCCGCTATCCACGAAAGTTCCGTGTGGTTCCAACGGACATGAGTTGACGAAGATCATTGGATGGTCGCAGTCATGTACCAACACAAGTGGTGGACCATCACGACAAGACTGCAGCTTGACGTGGCACGATGGCTTGCGTGTCTCCATGACCATGTGAACTACACAGAATGGCTTCACAGCCGCAGATCCAATCATGCATGAAAGGTCAATGGGTAGGGACCGGACAAAGCTCAGTTTCACAAAGCCAGCTGCTTTGGCACCTCCTGACTCCCTCTGAATATCTAGTTTCGTCCCTTCGGAAATCGCTCCAGCAAATAAACTGTGGGAGAAGCAGTTTACCTGTCAAANCGCACGCTGGATGATCAGAGTACCCGGGGAATCCGCCCGACGGTAGGTGGCGTCTTCACACTTCATTGAACAGCTACCGCTCACCTAAGCTAGGCAGTCCCCAACCAATAAGGTGCTGTCCCATCGACGTTCCACTTATTTCATTGGGTGTGAGTCTAAGGGCGGACGCCGAACGGCGGACTGTTAATCAACAAGCCAGCGAAAAATTGTAAACCGAAATCCGGAATTCTTGCGTGACCGGTCTCTGGAAGCTTCCACACGAATGCTTCTGTCACGCTTCAACATTGGATCTACGTCCCACTCCCTTGTGGGTCAAACTTTTGAGTCAAGGGCTCTGAGTAAGGTTCTTTAAGACAAACCCGAACACCCCCACCGCATTAAGAGTCAAACTTTTTCATTAACAGTACCGATCAGGGTTCCCAATTAAAAACCATTTTGATCGCTTCCGCTGTGCCCAGAATGCGACTCCTAATCCTCTGAGATAAACGGTTGCGACCTAAGTAGATGGGTCAAAACGCCTCGGCCACATTAACCACGTGGTTTGATTCTATTAGGTGTGATACAATCGAACTGTTGATGGTCTTAAATATTCCACTATTCAACCAGGCCGGGTGGCGCTCATGACTGCGTTCAGACAAACGTCTGCTCGTGCGGCCCATAGACCTTGTCTCACAGGAACAGGTAAATAAGTGTGCATAGGAAAAGAAAACATTTCATCGGTGTGGGCTACCGCGAAGTTTGTCGTGCCCTAAAGTCCTAGGCATTCACTTGTAAAACCCTCTTTCTCATTTGTCTGGTTCTTTCTTTCACTCCCCAATCGTACGAGATACCTCTTGTTTTGCTCCACCAATCGGATATCACTCGGCGTTTAACCACAAGGTCACTTTTCTGCACGCAATGACCGCACACTATCAGATCGGACAGCAAGCTGCCTTAGCCGTAACCCTTGAAACTTTCATTTTAGATGTATGCTGTCTGCGGAACACGCATTTCTCGCACAAGAACCGATGACACCTCATGGAAACCCCCTGCATTTTCACAGCGATGCATTCAAATCGAGCAAGTCGCCATCAGCTACCGCTGGTGATGATTCATCGAATACTGCCGGTCTCATTGGTCCACACCCGTGGACGAGTCAGATTCTCCTTAGGCCTAGGAAACGGCCACTGCAAACGGATGCCCATAATACAATGTCAACAATAGTTGCAAATCGCCTCCAAACAACCACCGGTGTTGGATGGAGAGTCAGCCTTGGTTTTTGGAGTTGATGAGACACCTGGGCTATATATGAGAGAGAGAACAACTTACAGCTGAATGCTGTGAATCGGTCATTTTGCCGATTAACAAGGAAGATGATAGGTTCTCCTGTGAAAACTACAGACAAATTAGTCTATTTAACGTTGTTCCTGAACTTCTCGCTGGTATTATACTCTGTCAATTGTCAGCCGCATTTGAACAGTGCACTTGTGAGAACCAGGCTGGTTTCCGACCCGTTTGAGGTTGTATGGACCACTTTTTCAATCATTGCTCAATTTCAGAACACAGACACTTTTCATAGACCAACAATTAGGATCTTCCTCTCTCTTTTCCTTTGCCAGTATGGCCATGTTCGGTATGCATTTTGTGACTTCAAAGTATAAAATGTTGCTATAGGACTGGGTTAGTCCAGCTCCCAGTCTCACTCTAACTGGGAAGTGATAGAGATAATGAACAACTTTTTTCTATCTGACCAGCTACACATCTCACCCGGTGGGTGCATCACGGATGAAGTATCGTCACATATACAGAAGGTTCGATTGACATTTACTGACGTAAGGCATCTGTAGCGTCGTTACGGCTATCTGTGAAGAGTCGAGTATATGTTGCCGCAGTTCTCCTTTACGACGATAGAGATCAACTGTCGGTTTTTGAACACCGCTATCTACGGCACATTGCACGACTGTGGCGGAGAAACCTGACAAGCAATGCTGAGGTTGGGAGTAGAGTTTTACTTAGTTGCGGTCGCGCACTGGAGCTAGTGGTCTACCTTCATAGACTACACTGGTTGGGACGTGTATTGCGCATATCACCAAATAGATTGTCAGGGCATGTACGATGTTTGTCTAGGCAGGTAGTGGATGGAAGGAAGTCCATTGTCGTCAAACGAAGACCGGGCATGATGTTGTGAAAACCCTGATCAGGAGATTTGCCTGCACAGGCCGCGTTGAACTTTCTGGATGCAGACCTGGAGATAGTCGTAACCGATAGTTAGAGATAAAGAGTGATATGTTTGAGTGTTGTAAAGAGCGGCGATCGTTAATCTCAATTTTTTGCAACCTTAGACCATGTGAATTCTTCATCTTCTCAGTGACTCTGCTCGCAACATTCCAACCTTCATTCTGCTCTTTCATCCAAATGGATAGTCACAAGACAGCAACCAAAACCGGCGCACAAAATTTCATGGTTATTGGTTGTAAAAACGGAAGCTGCGCAAGTGGTGGACGTTTGTGGATTGCAATGACCGGACCATCTGTTATGCATATTTTCGGATAGACTTCCTCTGAGTGCGATGTTTACCGGGGCGGTAAGTAGTTGCAGAAACGATAAGCGTGCTTGATCAGGTAGATCGCGTTCGGCTCTCCAGTTGGGCACTTCGTGATCAACATAAGCAATGGCTAGAGACATTCGGTGGTTTGCCTGGTGTTGGTGGTACTCTTCTATCTGTTCACGTCCATAGTTAGCCGGTATTCTCTGTCACAGCCTAAATAGAATACCCGCCGTTTTGTTTGCAGGAGCCGCGTTCGGCTTCCAACTGCTATAGACAGTACGTTCGTACATTCTCCAAGTAATAAAGTAAATTCGTATCACATAATGCACTTAAATGGAACTCTACTGCGAATGCCTCTATTTAAAACGTTATGTATTCGTTTATTACCCTTCGATTGTCGCAATGCATTTAGAAGTACCGTTTTTTTTTCAAAAATGGATGCAATATCACAACGACTGTATTAGCTTACTCTCTTTACGCCTCGCAGAGGTTGTTTGTGAAATAACAGAGAGAGAGGGGGATACGACTTGAGAATATTCTGAAACTCTTCTGCGTTTGTACCACCAGTTACCATCTTCATTGAGTCACGTACGGGACTGGATGT